TGGTTATTGCTTGGTCAACCCAAAGCAGTTTTACATAGGATTCAATAAAAACGACAACAAAATATTGCTGACCCATTATGAACAGTAACTCCGAAAATATCTTAATGAACAATACCCGAATTTTGTGTAAACTTGTGGCTTAATAATTCTAACTAATAATAATTGTAATGACCTAAGCATGTCAGTAATTTTATTTATGGGTATGCAACAATTGAGCTTACTGCCTGATGCATAATGCTTGGGTCAGCTTCACTAAAAGGTGCTCCATCTCCTTCCCATGAAACAACACCACCAAAAGCAGGAATGACAAAAAGCAAAGACTATCGAGGGACCTGAAACATGTATAAGTAGGCAGTGGTGGAGCCAGCTCATAACAAGGTGGGTCTCGGGACCCACCTTGGCTCGAGATTATAGTGTTTGTAAAATCGTATTGCATAGGTGGTTCGATCAAGAAAACCTTCTATTGGATTTTAAATTATAGACGGTTTTTTAGTAGTATGAAACGGTTGAATCACGATTAAACCATGGTTTCAACATAAATATCATACTATTGAATTTTTTAGTACAACCACTATTGCGGATTTACAATCCTTGCTAAATTATTACACAGATAATAATATTTGTACACAATTAATAACTCTAGAACCTAGTACCTCATGTTTACTGGTTTTACTTATCTACAAATAAATTATAGAAAATTTTGTGGTACACATGAACCTTGCATATTATGTAAATAAAAACTCTACTAGTGTAAAATGATTGATTCTCAAACAAAATAGCATCTCCATAACACAATAACATGGGGGCAGCAAACAACACCAGTCTTCATTGAACAGAAACGAAATAACCAAGCATCTAAGAAATATGATACACCAACCCAAGTTCAGATTGTCAAAGCATTCGAAAAATGAATCAGACAAAATATTGCAACAAGGAAAGAAAACAAAACTGCATATGGATTTGCAGTAGTATATAGAGCCATGATTTATGCAAGCACAAAGAGTCAGGCAGTAAAAAACAAGGACTAGCCGATTAGCAAAAAACTTGTGAATGGACGGAAATCATATATCTTACTTGGCATATGTGCTTACTCTCAAGAAACAAGCATCAAGCCTATGCAATGTTAACACAATAAACAAAAAATCACAGCAGATACCCCTGTCAAAACAAAAACTTCCAATATTGAATAATAATCTCACGTCACGGCTTAAATAGAACTTCATGTTCTTGAGGAGTTCCTTACACTTCTTGGTATCCTCATCGTCATCATGTTCTTCATCTTCAATAAGGTCCGTCAATGCCCTGGCTTAATTTGAAGGAAATTGATGCTGGAGTTGGGAAAGCCTTAACTCAGACTCTTCAAACTGTGCCCCTTCTTGTTGGCCACCAGTTTGGTTTGGTTTAGTGGAACCAATCTCTTTATGTTCTTCAATAGTATGCTTAGAATTACCATTCATATATCTTGAGAGAGCATAAAGATCTGTAGAAGAAAGAAGAATGTGAAAGTGTTTGAGAAACTAAGCAAAGTAGACAAATTGAACAGGTATAATACTTGCGCACCATAAAAATAAGCATAATATTTAAATTCAGTAAAGGTAAGAGATTAGACCTGCTGCGAGCATGGGATCAAGAATAGGTGGATACTTCACATTGATGGACTGGTACAGCTGATTCGGGCCCAAATGTACACATTTTACCCCTCATTTCTTATTCTCTTAGCTTAGTATTTCATCGTCCCTAGACATATTTCACGCTAGGTTGTGCTTGTTTTGATACATTTCATGTCCTAGCACGTGTGTAAGGGTCGAGGTCGATTTTTGAGATAATTGGAGGTCAAAAAGCGCAAAAACTGAAGAAAAGTCCGAAGTCCTTAATAGTGAAGTGCAGGCGTCCAGGAAGCAGTCGCAGTTCACGGTCAAACAAGGGATTTCACGGTCTCCTAAGACCGTGAGCTGGAGCCAGAAACCCTGAACATCGAGCAGTCCAGCGAGGTTTTAGAGGTTACTAACGCCAAGGGAGTTCACGGTCGCTAAGACCGTGAACTGGGGCCATTAACCGTGAACCCAGGAGAGTAAAGCGGTGCGTTTTGGAGACAACTGATTTCACATACGTGTTTAGATGTTCACGATCGTGAACTGGCCAACGCGTCCGTGAACTGCTCACTTTCGGGCAAATATGAAGACAGCAGCGGGGAGAGAGAAAGGGGAGCTGGTTTTTGGAGAGAAATTCAATTCCCTCTGTAGGGTTTGCCCAAAAACACCTAAGGGGAGTTATAGTGAGAGAGAGAGTGCTAGAGTGATCTTGGAGCATCATTGGAGGCTTGCGTGGATCTTGAAGACAAGGATTCCAGCCTAGAAGAAGAAGAAGATCTTGAGCTCAAATTTGTAATGCTCTCTCTCTCTCTCTCTCTCTCTAAACTCTCACTTTTCTCTTGGGTGTTGTAGATCCCTACTAATACTTTGTAATTACTTGTTTAGATTGAATGATTTCGTATGGGTTGCATCAATTTGAGTATTGCAGGTGTTTTCACGGTGATTGTGCTTAGTTGTGCTTTCCAAATCTTGTGTTCTTGCCTAACCTAGATTAGAGGAAAACCACACCTTTTTAGGTAGGCTTGACAAGCTTGATTTTCCTGGGCACTTTGTGCCTACACCATAAAAGACACTTCACCATTAAGATGATGAGATACACTAAGAGATTCAATTCCTTAGATCATAGCAATTATCAATAACCACTAAGCTGCAGTGGATTTTTTAGAGTCTTTACAGAGCACCTAGAGGATGAATAGGTTTAGCAAACCTTTCTCGGACCAGCCTGTCCAGCGTATAAATTGGCTCTCTAGTTCGAAGTCGGGTAGCAAGATCTTCATTCTTATTAGGCAAAGTTTTGTGTATTTTTTTCCTGGTATGCCCTCTGCTTCCTTAACTTCTCAAGTAGGGGATCATGTTATATGAAAGCAATGTCCTTCACATGACATTAAGTCTGGTTATTACCTTTAACCTTCTTCTTTGGTTCCCTGGGGAATACACCTTTGAGGATACAGAGCTCCTATACCACAAGCAATAAAACAATAAGTAGTCTTAAAATCCAACAACCATCCCTTGGACATATTTCTTCACCTGGAAGTAAATAAACGCTAGCCCAATTATGATTGATTGTTTCTAACCAGCTCAAGGACAAGCTAAATCTTCTCAACCAAGCTTATATGACAGATTACATAAACACTAGAGAGCTCAATATAAGCTTGGTCAAGACCAAATTGCTTGAGCTTAAAACCTTGTTTGCTAATCCTTTCCCTAATTCCACTTATACTTCAAAAAGAACAACATATCAAGTATTTAATTTTATTATTTTTTAAATTTTTAATTGCCACGTCATATATTTAACGGTCAACTTAAAGAGTTGACCGTCACATATGCAAAAGTTAACGCAGTTGGACGGAGAGTGACCAAACTTGACAGTTTTTAGTAATTTCAATGACCACGAGTGGAATAAAATATTTTTAGTGACCAAAGTTGACATTTTTTAGTAATATCAGTGACCAATCATGGCATTGACCCAGAATCTATATGTGGATGAGATAATACTTAATGGAAGGGGCATCCTCAGGCTCGAGTTTGCCAAGGAGTAGCTAGAGAAATTTTCTCGATGAAAGATCCTTGCTATAGAGATCTATAAAGATCGATCGAGGCGGTTCATTTTTTCTAGGTAAGAGTATACATATAAACAAGGTGTTTAATCAAGTATAGCACAAAAAGAATAAAAGAGAAGACTACTTATTTATTAGGCACGACATCGTTCATTCAAAATCACATTCCCACAATATAAAGGGCTAAAAACCGAATATATCTAATCCCCTATGCATCGATGATAACCTCCACAATATATGACATGCATTTATACAAGACAAAACATCACATATCTTATACGATAAGTGCGACGTGCAAAAATCAGCAAACCCTAGAAAGACAGTCATTGAACTATTGTAATCGTGGGCATAAGTTAGGAATCACTAGTAACCTCCCCTTCAAAGACTTTCAACATCTATGTATAAAATCTAGGGTAAATACAATTTAATATCCAAACCTTTCATTTTAAACAATATAATAGCCAAACCTTTTTGAAAACAATCTAATATCCAAATCGCCAACTTTCCGTTCGTTTAACCGTTAGTTGACACTTCAAAAAGCTTTGTTTAGGGGAAATTGTCACAATACAACTTTGTTTTCTTGTTTTGGCATTGCAGATGACTGAATATTTAGATATTCTATACCATCATGGTGGAGTCATGGACTTCTCGGGTTCGAAACTACGATATGTTGGTGGTTTTTTAGAGAAGATCTCGATGGATATTGATGAAGTGTCGTACTTCGAACTTTTTTGAAGTGTCAACTAACGGTCAAACAGACAGAAAGTTGACGATTTGGATATTATATTGTTTTCGAAAAGGTTTGGATATTATATTGTTTAAAATAAAAGATTTGGATATTAAATTGTATTTACCCTAAAATCTAACAAATATTTATCCCGTCACCTTTTTCATAAAAGTTAAATTTCACAGAGTTTTGAGTCTTAACTCTCAACTGTAAAGCATATCGTTATATTATTAATTAAATTCTAACAAATATTGAGGGACACAGTTTAATGTGAAGTCCAAAGATTATTATCACGTTATCCATATTTATTATCCTTTAGCAAGAAAATAATTAACAAACATAACATACCATATTTGGAAAAAAGAATCATAAAACCATTGAGAAACTCAGGATTAAAATCGATAACTTCTATTCAACGAAAAAAAAAATCGATAACTTCTCTCTTTTTGTTATAGACTTGCAGTCCAATCAAAGTCCAAACAAAACAAGCTGCTCCATTCCATTTCTTCATTAATTGATTGTTTTACCATTGTCGGCTGCCTACTTGTAAAATCCTAAATACACAGAATCGTCACATAATAAGTGAGGCAATCCTTAATCCAAGGGAAACCAGAATGTTGGCCACCCTCAAATCTCTATTCCCGGCAAACCGATTCATCACCGCTCAAATAAAACCCTTCCACTCTTCTTCTTCCTCCTCCTCCTCCTCCTCCTTCCCTTTCTTCCCCCTGAACTTTCCCCCCAATTTTCCATTCCCCAAAACACAACCTTAATCAACACAAAAGAAGAAATAGGGGAATCAAAATATAAACACGAAAAAGAAAATTTGAAGACACGGATTCAAGGGGGGAAAATGTACAGAAGGAAGTAGGGGGGAAATTAAAACACAAACGCAATGACAACTCAAATCAACAATCTTCCCTCTTAACGTAAATGGCATCCTCGAGGCCGAAAGACAAATCATCATCAGAGTCGCCGTCTCCCGCCGCTGCTCGTCCGCCGTCAAACCAAAGGAATGCTCGCCGCACATCGGCCAGCCTCTCCCGTGACGACGACCTAGACATGTCCGGAGAATCATCCCATTCCGGCGGCCACACCAACTACACCGTCATGATGCCCCCCACACCCGACAACCAACCGGGATCCAAACTCGACGACAAACCTGACGGCCCAAGCCCACATGCGGGCTCTCGCTTTGGGACCCGGCCCGCACCCGGAGGAGCCAAGATGGATCGGCGGATGTCGATCATGACGTCCACCAACAACAATAAATCCATGCTGCTAAGAACCCAGACCGGCGATTTTGACCACAACAGGTGGCTTTTCGAGACCAAAGGGACGTACGGCGTAGGGAATGCGTATTGGACTGACGACCATTATGGACCCGATCTCGGGCTCAGTATGTCGGATTTCATGGATAAGCCCTGGAAGCCTTTGAGCAGGAAGGTCAAAGTCCCCCCGGGAACTCTCAGCCCATACCGGTTACTGATCGTGATCCGATTGGTGGTCCTGTTCTTCTTCTTGGGATGGCGTCTCCAGAATCCCAACAGGGAAGCCATGTGGTTGTGGGGCGTTTCTGTTGTGTGCGAGCTCTGGTTCGCCTTCTCTTGGCTTCTCGATATTCTCCCTAAATTCAACCCCATCAATCGAGCCACCGACCTTGCCGCTTTGAAGGACAAGTTTGAACAGCCATCCCCGTCTAACCCTTCCGGCCGGTCCGACCTACCCGGAGTCGATGTCTTCGTTTCCACCGCTGATCCAGATAAGGAACCGCCCTTGGTCACTGCCAATACCATGCTCTCCATTCTTGCGGCCGAGTACCCGATCGAGAAGCTCGCCGCCTACATCTCCGACGACGGTGGTGCCATTTTTAACTTCGAAGCTATGGCTGAAGCTGTTCGCTTTGCTGAGGTATAATCTAACCCAACCCCATTATTGAATTGCAATGGAAGCAGACACTCTTCGAAAAATCACCTTATTTGACCATTTTGTTTGATTGTTGCAGATATGGGTTCCCTTTTGTCGTAAGCACAACATAGAACCAAGAAATCCAGACAGCTACTTCGGCCAGAAAACAGACCCAACGAAGAACAAGAAGTTGCACGATTTCGTAAGAGATCGACGGTGGATTAAGAGGGAATACGATGAGTTCAAAGTACGAATCAACGGCCTCCCTGAGGTGATTCGTAAGCGATGTGATGCACTAAATAGGAGGGAAGAGAGAAAGGAGAAGGCCATAGCTAGGGAGAAGAACGGCGGCACGCTCCCACAGGAAGGGGTGACGGTCCAAAAAGCAACGTGGATGGCTGACGGGACTCATTGGCCGGGGACATGGTGGCAGTCAGCTCCAGATCATGCCAAAGGTGATCATGCTGGGATTGTTCAAGTGATGAGCAGGGTCCCCGAGCCGGAACCGGTGATGGGAGGACCGGATGAGAATAGGATAGATTTCACCGGAGTTGATATCAGGATCCCGATGTTTGTCTATGTCTCGCGTGAGAAGAGGCCTGGCTATGACCATAACAAGAAGGCTGGAGCCATGAATGCCATGGTTCGGGCCTCGGCTATACTATCGAATGGACCCTTCATTCTGAATTTGGATTGTGATCATTATTTCTATAACTCCCTCGCGATCAGAGAAGGGATGTGCTTTATGATGGATCGTGGCGGTGACAGAATATGTTACGTACAATTTCCTCAGAGATTTGAAGGCATCGATCCTTCTGATCGATATGCCAATCACAACACAGTCTTCTTTGATGGTAAATAATTACTTTTAATTATTTCCTTCTAAATATTTCTATTAATAACAATTTTACTGGGGATTGAAATTATTAATGAAAAAATTATACATTGAATCCATGAGGACCGATTTATACAAATATGAAAACCAACTAGAAAATCAAATACTTACTCAAACGTTCAGCATCTAGTTAGACAAATGACATATTAAGACTTAATTGAAATGAATTGATTGGTAAATTACTCGGATGGATTGATCGCAATGCAAATTATAGGCTTTTCTAATTGATTGCAAACTATAGACTTAATTAACTCAATGTAAAAATGGTAGGGACTAAACAAAATATGTGATTACTTTTCTTCTACACACAGGAAGCATGCGCGCGCTTGATGGTCAACAAGGTCCAGTATACGTGGGAACCGGGTGCATGTTCCGAAGATACGCACTGTACGGGTTCCTGCCGCCAAGAGCCAACGAGTACCTCGGAGTATTTGGTCGAATAAAAAGCAGAGCTCCTAGTGCTCCCACACACTTGGAAGATTCAGAATCACACCCACTGACCTCAGACCACCCTGACCTCAACCTCCCCAAAGGATTTGGGAACTCACAAATGTTCAACGAGTCCATAGCCGTGGCGGAGTACCAAGGCCGCCCCCTCGCCGATCACATCTCCATCAAGAACGGCAGGCCTCCAGGCGCATTGCTGGCCCCTCGCCCGCCTCTCGACGCCCCAACGGTGGCCGAGGCAGTTGCCGTCATCGCTTGCTGGTGAGTTCCCCATTTTCACAATCACAGGTGGTTTCTTGGACGACAGGTTTGATTTAATGTTTGGGTTGGTGACAGGTACGAGGACAACTCGGAGTGGGGTGATAAGATAGGGTGGATCTACGGATCGGTGACGGAGGACGTGGTGACGGGCTACAGAATGCACAACAGAGGGTGGCGGTCCGTCTACTGCGTCACAAAGCGCGATGCCTTCCGTGGCACGGCACCGATCAATCTCACGGACAGGCTCCACCAGGTGCTCCGGTGGGCGACCGGGTCGATCGAGATCTTCTTCTCCAAAAACAACCCACTGCTGGCGAGCAGGAGGCTCAAATTCCTGCAAAGAATCGCCTACCTCAACGTCGGATTCTACCCTTTCACGTCAGTGATCTTGGTGATCTACTGCTTCCTCCCTGCCTGGTGCCTCTTCACCGGAAGCTTCATCGTCCAGTCACTCAACGTTGCATTCCTCTGCTACCTCCTTGTTATCACGGTCACACTAATGCTTCTCTCCCTCCTGGAAGTCAAGTGGTCGGGGATCGAGCTGGAGGAGCTGTGGAGGAACGAGCAGTTTTGGGTCATCGGCGGGACCAGCGCCCATCTCGCTGCTGTGATTCAGGGCCTTCTCAAAGTCATAGCCGGGATAGAGATCTCCTTCACGCTGACCTCGAAATCGTCGGGGGAGGACGAGGAGGACATTTATGCTGATCTCTACGTGGTGAAATGGACCAGTCTGTTCATAGTGCCCCTTACCATCATCGTGGTGAACATCATTGCAGCCGTGATCGGCGTGTCGAGGACCTTGTACAGCGTGATACCTCAGTGGGGGAAGCTCTTTGGAGGACTCTTCTTCAGCTTCTGGGTCATTGCTCACATGTACCCTTTCATCAAAGGGTTGCTTGGAAGGAGAGGAAGGGTGCCGACCATTGTGTACGTGTGGTCAGGTATCCTTTCCACCACACTGTCTTTGCTCTGGTTATCAATCAGCCCTCCCAGTGATAGCACCTCCACTGGAAGTATTACCATATAACCAATTGGCTGTCCATGGAGAAACACTGTACACAAAGAAAAATTATTGTAGATCGATACTCCTAGATTCTTCTTCCCCGGCCGCGGTGTTAGCACGACAAGGGATCTTTCTTTTTGACCTTTCCTCCACCTCTTTCGGTGGCTGTCAATATATTGTTTCATGGACATACTGTAACAGATGTACAATCAATGCATAGAGAATTTACTCGATGTTAATAGCTACAGAGAGTTTGAACTCTTCTAGTTACAAGGCCCTAACCAGGTAATGAAAGGGAGTAGAATACTTCTTCCTCATAATATCAACAGAAAGACAAACACTTAATTTAACCATATATGATGAGGAAAAGGATCATTTCAAAGATATCAAGTATTTTCTAACGCATGACTGGACGCCCAAGTTACTATTACCTCTAAGCACTAGCACAATGATTGAATCAACTCAGAAACTCCCGCATTTTCACTGGCCTTTTAACAGCATTGGTGAATCCCTGTATTCACAAGAAGTAAATGAAGAGTGTTAGTGCTGGTGGAATACAATCAGGACTATATTTCGAGACTCATCCTATTTTATTTGAGCCTTTACTACTTTCTGTTCCTCAAATATGCCTTTTCTAGCTTTGGCATGCAGTCTGTGCATTCAAGGACTAACTGAATTGACATCTCCAGAGCCCAGAGGTATACCTCGTTGTACTTAAATAGGACAGGCCGTGAATCTCTTTCCAATGTAGTGACCTTGCAGTCCACAGTCTCGGCTTTCAGAAAACCTCTGCTACCTACTTTCCTGAACCTGTTTTGACAGCAAAAACACACATATCAGCAATTAAGTGGCCATGCTCTACGAATACCTTCAAATTTGGACATTTAATCATTCTAAGTTTTGGTTCTTCACATGCCATGAAGTAATAATCTAATTTCGACAACAAGCAACATTACTGGTATTTTTTTAAATGCTTATTCAGAAAGTACCAACATCAGTTTCCAGCACCTGTCAAAGAAGTTGGCAGCGCTGCTCGAACTTTTCTTAGTGTCCTCACAACTATTTAGCTTTGCGTTAGACACAGAACTCTCACTTGCTTCCACACTTGACGATATCGCCAATGAACTCGGGATGCTTACTCCTTTCTTCCCCTTTTCTCTATTGGCAGCAAAAGCTCCTATGTGTTTCACACTGCTGGATGGTTCTTTATGGTTCCCTCTTTCTCTCAAATCGAGGTTTGCTTCATTGCACACTTCAGTGTCATGTGTGGATTTGCTGACTAGCAAAATCCTTCGCTTCTCAACCTGAATTTAATATACTCAACAGATTAGAGACAAATTTGAAGTGTAGTGGCCTGTGGACAATACAAATCATATTTGTTCCTCCATTCTTTCTTAATAAAATGATCCTGACAAGTCCAATTCCCGAGGAACAACAACCAGATCTTCACATGTCATTTAATTTAGCTGAGTGCATATTATCTTCTTCATTGTTATTCATATCAGATGTCTGACATTAAGCTGTTCAACAAAGATATGGGAGATAGTCAGATAGACATGATATTTCTTTTTTCTTATACAAGATGGATAATGAAATATATCTCACCTCGTGAACCAAAACTTGCTTCAAGGCCAGGGGAAGTGTATTATGAGCATATGCACAGCCCTGCTAAGTGCAAAGAACACGAGTAAGAAAATATATCTAAGAGGCAACTGGTTACACATCTAAGCTAAAGTTTAATGCACAAGTTGTACCTTGAAATTGATGAACTCTGTAATGGGAGGATCAAAAGAAAGCGTGGATGAATCTGCCGCTGCTTCTTGCACTGGCTTAGTGGAGTGAAGATTGGGCCTCGCATTCTTATACGTGACAGAGTAAGACACCATCTTGCTAACTAACTGGTCCATATCATTCTTTTCTTTTTCGGATAATAAGCGCATTGGTACCTAAGAAAGGAATACCAAAGCTATTACTAGAGAAAACGGTCTTATAATAGCAAACCTGAATACAGACATTGGTGAAAACCACTAACCGATCTTATAGTTGAGGGTGATAGAATATGCAACATGGACGAAATCGAATCTTCAGAAAATGACTTTGTTGATAATGCCGCGGTATATATGATGGAATTTTGCTCTTCCAAGCCCTCAACAGTTCTAGTTTCTCTGTCAACATTGTTCGATGCCTGAAGTTTTACAAAATTGATTACTAGTGAAAAGCTGAAAGGTGTAACATTAGACCTTATCTGATTCAGAGATAAACCAGGACATAGACCTTTGATAAGATTTTGGCCAGTCAATATTTGGTCTTTGGACTTGAGCCACAATACGGTTAGAGGAGCCTGATAAACTACAGAAATGAGAAATATGAAAACAGAATGTAAGAAGCAACCTGCATGCCAATTGCAGCTCCTCAAAAACCCAAAAGGAACATACTGTAACTGATGCACTTCACATAGAAATATGCATCAGCTGCAATCTTGCATATTAATCTATCTTCATCGAGTTAATGGGAACACAGTACACTGCCATCTGGAGGAATCAGACTTTGCATTAGGCCTAATAACAGAAAGTCAATATGAGATTTTCAGCAAATCCTTTTGATCTCTAACTTAGGGCATCAGACCTTCTTTGTACAATGAACAAAATTCAATCTGCTAACCTTTGCATGAAAAAGAATAACCAGGAACTTCTGGGATCAGATAACATGATTAATTGATTATCAACTTAGCATTTGATTGTGAATACAGAGCAGGGATAAAGAAAGGATCCTATGTAGAAGACTATGACATGAAAGAGCAAAACCAGCACAGCGTGACAAAATAGGTGCAAAGGAAGCAAAGTAGACTACAAGCCATAACAATTGAAATAAAGAATTAAAAAGTACCATCTTGAGAATGACATCCACAGCACCTCTGCCATCGCCAAGAGCACCATCTATCTTATCAATCACCTGTACCAACATGATCGATTGTATCTTCATCCTGGAGCATAGAAACAAATGAGAAACTAAGAAACCTATGACTAACCAAACACTTGGGCCTTGAGTCTGCTGTCGCAGAGTTCATCTGAACAACATCAAGGATTTTAGCTTCAACACTAGAGGATGACCGATCATCACTGGCATTTATCTGTTTAGAAGAAAGCTAACGATAAGCACATGGGAAAATATGGCAAAAGTTATGTGAATGATGAGAGGTGAATTTAGCTGCATAGGAAAATCTAATCCATCAAGAAGTCAACGACAAGTAGCTTACAGCATGAACAATTTTGCATCAAAGCTAGTTTCAGGTTCACAATATGGCGAAAATTTCTCAATCGAAGGACAAGCAATGCAGATGAGGTAGTCATCATTAACAAATGCAAGTATTATGATAAAAAGGAAAATTATTCATTGTACTACATGGTAATTCCTATGTGGGAATTAAAAGTGATAACGAACCTCGACAACTCTGTACCCACAATGTTTAGCCGGTACATGTGCAAGTGTAGTCTTTCCAAGTCCTGGAGGGACACAAAGTAAAAGGATTTGCAATGTTCACAGTCTCTTTAGGAACAATATTGCTAAACAAACCAAAGGTCTACCTGACAAGCGAGATTAGGGAATGAAATAACACATCTATTTCATTTGAATTCAAGTTACAAAGACGAACTAACACATATCCTTGCCTAAGTAAGCCCTCCTTCTAACCTTTTGTTCTGGAGTACCGCTTGGCCTCAATTTCTTGGCCGTTAAGTCCTGCACTTGTTTAGAATTATCATTTTCATGCTCCATTCTATCATAACGCCGCACATGCCCATTAGCCTACTTGTGCCCTCTGCCTTTCCTCGTGAAAGAGGTATCAGAATGTTTCTGATGTTGAGAAACAGTTGAGTGACGCTTAAGAGCAGACAGAACTTCATCCATTGTACTTCTAATTTCAGATCCAAAAACACAAGAATCCCATTGTTTCAACCACAAGAGAACCTGCAACGATAGACACGATTATGTATTCTTGACCATAACCAGAGGAAGCTATGCATGATATTAACCACTTACCTCTCGGTTTGTCTGCTCGTCACTCAGTAGCTCCGTGAACGAATTAGGAGCATACTTATCAACCCAAATCTTTCCAGGAACAACACCTGTTTGAGGCAGAACAGCATCATCCTGAACTTCAGCAGTAAACTAGATCAGCATAAACTAGATCAGCGTTGCAGTTTCTTCGGAATTTCAATCATGAAACTGCATGAGCCAAATTCAAATTGTTGCCTACCTTGTTGACGGCCAATTGATCAGCCTTCTCGAAAAGAACGTTGATAGGTTCGATTAATAGACCTGCCGAGGAAATGAATAAGTGCAATGAGAGCGAAGAATCTGTGAAACTAGATCCTGCAGGTTTGTATAGAATATACGAACTAATCTTACCGCCTGATTGTGATTTGCAGTTCAATTGCTTAGATGCCACTTCCATTTCTACTGCACATAACTTCGCATAAACCCTATTGTCGCCTCCGGGGGCAGTCACAGGAATAAAGTTGCCATCAATCTTAGATATGTATTTTGACACAATAATCTCCTCCTCGTCATCTTTATCCCTTCCATTGGAACAACAACCGTCTCATCCCTGTCATCGAAACCTCCGTCTCGTGGAGGAGAGTACCGGAGTCAGTCGTCGTCATCGTCGACTTTACTTCTCTTCTGGTCGATTTTGACGGCAGCGGAGTCTTCCTCTCCGTGAGTAGTCGAATCTAACACTGCCGAACGGTGACGCTTCTGACCGGAGTTCGAATCAGCCGGATTCGTCGGGGAACCAGGGATGATTGCGGTGGTTCTTCGTCAGATTCGAAGGTAGGTCGAACCTCGTCTTCTTCGTGAAAATTAGAGTTGGCTTCGAGCCATTCAAGCGCGTCTGCTTGAGGATATATCAAAGTCCATGTCCATTTTTTTCGGCGATTTGGCTGAGATCGACGCCGCGGGTTGGCAGTGCAGCAGGATGGATGCAAATGAGTGAGGTTCTAGGGAGTGTGTTCCTACTTCCTTCGCGGGAAAGTGTAAGAGAAAGAAGCGGCAAAGTGCTTCGCCAGGTGACTCAAACGTAGAGACGTATTGACGGGTCGCCGACCCAAAATTAAATAATTTATTTTCAATTTGTATTTTCAATTTTGCTCAGTTTTCATAATCGGACCGGAGTCTCAAGTGAAAAAGTTAGTGGTTTAGCATTTCATTTCTAATCGTTGCTAGAACAGTTTATGACATATAACATATAAGACTTGTATATGACACTAATTTAAGAATTAAATTATCATTGATCATTACCAAAATATCTTATAAATTATTCAAACCGTATCACAAAAGAAATCATAATTTATTAGTTCAAACTAAAAAAGCTATGGTGACGATCGGTAATGGACCACTTAAGGTCGTCAACAAGGTTGGATAATTAGAAGAGGAAGTAGATATAAAATTAATAACTATAGTTTGATGGTCTTAGTTTACATTAATAAAGTATCTTTTTAATTGTGGTTAAAATAGTGAACCACTAGATCACTTATACCGTGATGATTCATCTAGTTAATTTTATGTTGAACCGTGAAAACCCACTTGATCCATCAATAATCGTTCAAGCAATAAACCAGACCACTATAATAATTGGTTTAACGATTCCATTGGAGTAACCGTTAATTCGGTTCAATTCTTATTTTGCCAAATTTCACATCCACGATAATACACACAAAAATTCCTCGCCCATCAATCTTGGAATTAAATAATTTATTTGAATTCTGATTCTGCCACGTGAAGTGGTACTTGGGTAGTTGGGTAGCAATGTGTGGTACCAACAATATTTATCTGAACATGTTGAAAATTGATATTAATATATATAAATAAGAAGTAAAGTTACTGTTATCTAGAGTTTTGCTAATCTACCTTATTATTGTCACCTATTATTGTAACCTACTAAGTAATGGGAACAATCAATTAATGTTATTAAAAAACAATAATGCATTGTGATGCACTTAAATGTAAGTAAATGATATAAGAAGAATAATTGGAACTTTTCAAATAACTCGAATTATTAAGATCAATTGGTTCTTAATATTATGTAAAAGCCTTTGATGATCGAGGGTCCTTGTGTTCAAATTTTGACAACCCACATTCATTGAGCACATGGTATCCATACATGTGCAAATTCCAAACTAGAGAGACAAAACACATAAGCCTTGTGATGCCATTGCTAGAGTCTTCCACAGTGCTCCTATCCTCCCTTAGACCAAAAAAAAAAAAAAAACAATTATAAGTTGCAGTTTCATGCATTTTTCTAGCATGCTTCTCACTAGTTGTGTGTGCAAAACCAGATGAGAAAATAAGAGTGAGCGAAAAAAGGACGAGGAAGCAATGTAGAAGGAATATCATATATTCATATTATTATCCTTTTTCACTTGGTACTAGAGATGGCAATATGAATTGGATTCATGGATTGGTTGATTAGATTGGTGTATCCATGGATTAGATGGATGGTGGATTCATGGATTGGTGGATTGGATCACTGACCAAAGTGACATGTAAACTAAACATTGAACCAATATGTAAATTTTGAAAATTTTAAGTACTAAAATGATATAATAAAAAATTGTAGATGCCAAAAAGTAATTTTCCAATGATATTTTACTTAAAAATAATTTAAGATATCATATTGTAAAGTATAAAACTACATGTATTAAAATATAGGTTGGCAACAATCCAATCCATAAATCCAATAAGTGAATCCATCGCTCCAATGGAATTTGGATTTAAATGAATTGGATTAGTTGTATATTTAATTAGAAGAATTGAATTGATGAATTTGATTAAAAAATTGACACTTTTACTTAATACCATTAAACAATCATGATCCTCCGACCCACATTTTTCCTAATCAGCTAAGCCCGCAGCAAAGACGCGGTAAATTTCTAGTAATTTTATAGATCATAACGAACTTGTTCAATATGTGCATAATTTTTTAAATTCAAATTAAATTAAAAAAATACAAACCGAATAAAAAAATAAGAAAAAGTGTTTTAATGCCGCCTCTTAAATTTAGCCCCACTCAATATCAAATTTGGTTATACACACTATCCTAAACCCCTAATTTTATCGTCCTCGAACCTCCAATTCGACAACATACAAACCTCATTTGTGTCGCATTCATTGTACTCATGTACATGAGCGAAGGGAGAGTGTAACTGGGTAGGTTTTGAGACCCACCCTAACTCGAGAGTAAAATGGTTTACTTATGTACAATAGTTAATTGATATTGAAAATTATCATGTGTCTAATGGAGAATATATAGTTGATTGAGAGGTCTTGTATTTGAATCTTGACGACCTCATTTGTTAATCACATAGTATTTAGATTTGTGCAAACTTCAATTTCATATAAGTTGACTCATATGAGAGGGGTGTAGTAGATGTATAAGATAATTATTTAACATCTCTCAACAACTTGAGTTATTGATACTAAACAGTTTTTGACCAAGAACACCATTCGAAAGTAAATGTCTGACTGAATCATGAATAGGTGTTTGGTATAAGATTCATTATTAAACTTTTCTCCACAACTCGAGTTATTAATATCAAGGACAAAGAACACTATTTGAAAGAGAACGGCTAACAATTAATCAATCAATGTTTGGTATATAGAGAGTGATAGTATTAATAGTTTCGACTACTGATGTATTTTATCATATATATTTTCTTAAATAGATCCACCTTAAACAAAATACTGGATACACCTGCTCGCGTATATACACAATTTCTAAATGTGTGTTATTGATAAGGTTCCAAATAAACTGCATGCATGAAGTAGCCGTTTTTATCTTATTGATCATCCAATCATCAATCTCACTTACAACTCCCATTGATCTCCTATTTCTCTCGCTTTCTCTGTCTCTCCCTCCCTCGAGCTCGCTAAATATAAACACTAATTCATTTAAGAAGTAACGGAAATAACGAATCTTTATGAACCTCTGTTTTGTTGAGAGCACAACAACCAGCAATTCATTTTCCATAATTTAATTTTTTCCACCCTTGTTCTTTTCCTTCAATTGGTGAGCCATTTCCCCGGGTCAGGAACTTTTACTCGGTTTTTGTTTTCTTTCTTCCTCCCTGTTCTGAATTTTCTTGTCGGGTGAAGAAAGACGACGAGGAGATGGTGGGGCAACAGACGCTGATCTATAGCTTCGTGGCTAGAGGGACGGTGATCCTAGCGGACTACACCCAGTTCAGCGGCAATTTCACCACCATCGCCGCTCAATGCCTCCAGAAACTTCCTTCTACCAATAACAAATTCACCTATAACTGCGATGGCCACACCTTCAACTATCTCGTCGAAAATGGCTTCAGTATGCCTCCATGCAATTCCTCTCGTTCGTTTACATCTAGCTAATCTTGATTTGGGTGTTTTCTGTTCTTCCAAATTTAAAATGATTTTCGTGCAATTCCATGTGATTTTCCCTACGGTTCTTGGATCAAGAAAATCTATACTTGATTGCTTCGAATGTTTTTTTTATCATGACAATCATCGATTTGAATGTTTGATGCATGAATTCGGGATTCTTTGTATTTTTAGACATATTTTTTTGAAAATTTTGATTTTTTTAGAGAGATTGATGATATGTCATTGGCAGCCATGGAAATGGACCTAACTGACTCAGAGACCGGTCTTTTGTTGTTGAAATGATGCAGCCTTCTGCTTGGTTGCGGTTGAATCCGCGGGCAGGCAAATCCCAATCGCATGTCTGGAGCGAATCAAGGACGAATTCAACAAGAAATATGGAGGAGGGAAAGCTTCCACTGCCAAAGCTAACAGCCTCAAGAAAGCGTTCGGGTACTTCATTAATGGATTGATGCAGAGTTGTTGGTTCTTGTTCTTGTTGTGCTCATTTTTTTCTTTCTTTACATGAATGAATGTTGATCATATGCAGGCCCAAGCTGAGGGAACATATGCAGTACTGCGTGGATCATCCGGAGGAGATCAACAAGCTTGCAAAAGTCAAGGCTCAGGTTTCTGAAGTCAAAGGTGTGATGATGGAGAACATTGAGAAGGTTCTTGACCGTGGCGAGAAGATCGAACTGCTGGTGGATAAGACTGAAAACCTTCGTTCACAGGCGCAAGACTTCAGACAACAGGGAACCAAGATCAAGAGAAAGATGTGGTACGAGAACATGAAGCTGAAGCTCATCGTGTTCGGTATCTTCGCGGCCTTGATTCTTCTCATCTGGCTAACCGTTTGCCATGGCTTCAAGTGTCAGTAAAAACTACTTCACAACAAGTTCTACGCGCCACTGGCATGCACCTAGTCATCATTCAACTCGACTTTTCTGTTTGTAATCTTTCTTTGTTCATTGATCTACTTTTTCGCGGATCTTCTCATCTTCATACTTTAGAATCACACCACCACCCTTTCAGCTTCAGGGGAAATCTTTAGCTAAACTAGGATGTGAGAACAGCCCTGTATTTCTGTTTTCCTTTTCTCTTGTTTGGATAGGGTTTAATTCCTTCTTTTTGTTGGGTATCTTGCCGTGGATTGCTCTCTTATGCTAGTTCCGCATGCATATGTAATGTCTGTTTCTTCACAATTGAACAGAGGTTCATCAATGAATACTTCCTCAAATGATGTTTCCAATTCCCAAACCACTCGCTTCTCACGCATAAACATGGTCGTCGTATAAACAAAGCAACCCCAGTTACTGTCTATTCAGCTTCATCAAAAGGGCTTGATAAAGTTGCAGCCAAGAACGAAAAGAGTACGTATACATGTATGTATGTATGTATGTGTCGATCAGCAGGCTAAATGATCTCTAACTGGGGAGATCTCTTCAAAAATGGGGAGTCTACTAGAGTTATATGGTGTCCATTGCCCCATCAACTGGTCTAGCCCCTCAGTGAATGCATCTTCTAAACTCGATCCCAGAGACGTAGACAAGGAGGAGTATGGTGATTGGCACATTCCCTCCAGTTCTTGGAGTAGCTCCTCCACGCGATTTCTCGACTTGGAATCATCATGTCCATGTAGCTTATCACGTACTACATCATCTAGCACCGAGCGTGCTTCAACATATCGTCTTTGCTTCATTAGGCACGTGCTTAAAATGCAAGCCTTATTCGCGTCAGGGTCAATCAACTAAGCTTTACGGTACACTACTTCTGCCGATGAATAGGTTCCAAGCTGCATATATGCCCAACCCAAGTTTCCCTGCATTGTGGTGTAAGTTTGCTTTGTCAGCTTTTCTTAGACACTACTTGGCAGACCAATGTGACATGATTAGTAATTTAGTATAGCACTGAAAGAAAGGCAGAGCGAGCAGTTTCTTTTACCAGTATCCTCGAAGTCTCTTGCTTGACTGTGACCTGGAACTTCCTCCCATGCGAGCGTGCTGTCTAGGTCGGCTTGCCATTGAATGCTTCTCCATGGTAAATCATCCGAAGCTTCTGCTTCAACAGCTCAATCTGCTCCTCCATTCTTCCACATTTCTATAAAAAACATTTCACCACGATGAATTTCGAAACAGCAAAAAATAAAGGAAAGGCGCCACTCATTCCCCTACCGATGTGTTCTCTAAGGAACTGATCAGTGATTACCTACCTTGTATAGGTCAATGAGGACATTGTCAATTGACTCTTGAGCATGCTTGGAGCAGAGATGCCTAAACCGCCTTATAGCTTCGATAGCTTCTTCAGCTCTATCTTGCTGCTTCATCACCAGTGCCATGTCTTTGAGGGCACTGTCTACTCTATCTCCAGCGCTAATGGATTTAAAGAACCACTAAATTTCTGCTTCTAGATCATTCTCAACTAGCTGTAACAAGAACAAAGAAGCAAAAAAAAAAAAACAATGACTCTGTTACAGAATGCCAAAATGGGGCGGAAATGTGACACAGAAGAGGAATTCAACACAAGCAGGTCTGAAAATCCTGATTGCACATTACATTTCCTTTTACAAGGCAACAAATGTCCAATGTAATCACAAATTCAGGAACATAACAGTAACTTCAGAAGCTGTTTCTGCTAATTTTCAAAGGTCTGTTACTCACTGAACCAATGGATTCTCCCATATTTTTTTCGCTCCTCTAGTGGGCTTGATTGATAGATCGGATTGAAAGCCGAGGATTTCTATGGTAAATTTCTACTCTACTGTTGAGATCAAGCACCAGCCTCCCAAGGAACTCTCGTTTCACAAACAACCTTCAATGCTATTAAAACAGAGCAAAAGGCGAATCTAACAAAATGAACACATTTTTGAAATGATAAACCTGACACGACCAAATTCTTCAGCACCCGCCAAAATGGAGTGAAATCTTCCAAAACTCAAACTAACATCCTCCAGGAGAATCAATTTAGTGAAACCAGACTGTTCATATGCACTACCCTGACCCCCACGAAGAGAATACCGAAAATAGAGAAGGCAAAAGAAGAATTACCTGGACGTGCTTAGCTCGAACGTAAGGGCCATCGCCAGGGAGAAGCTTGTGAACAACGTGATAGGGAGCAGCGTCTAAGTTGAGATGATGCATCTCTAGTGCTTTCAGAAGAGTCCTCTGCTGGCTAATCATCGAAAAGAACACAACAAGTACAGAAGAAAGACACACCCTTTTGCAGTACTGAAGAGGAAGCATGAATGGCAGAATGGAGAGATATGTAACGGCTGCAGAACTGTTGAGCTGTGAGGGAAAACGCGAGGTTTTTCTCAGCTTTCCTTCCGGGGGGAAAAGGCAGAAGAGGAGGCAAAAGAGGCTGACTTTATGCATTTCGAGGAGGAGGCGGCCGTGAAGAATGAATGTGGACACATTGGCCGTCTTGCTTCATTTCAACGGATCCAGAAGGGGCCGCCACGTATAAGAGATGGACACGTGGCAGATTCATTTTACCTACGTGATTCCCAAACTGTTTATTTTCTCCCTTTTCCGCTCCTTGTTGGGATTTGTGGAAACCCTACCTGAACTGTTCCCTCGCCTGAGGGATAGATCAGATTTTCGTTGCATGCTTCTCCCAACGCTATCCCTGCAGGATAAGTAAAAATAAAAATATGTGTATTTACTGATTCATCAGTCATCACAATATGTGAGCTTTCGCGACAAAATCCTAGAAGGTGATTTATGTTACAGAATTTGAATTATTAAAATCTTTATATAGTTGCACTCAAGAAAAACTCTCTATTACGAGCATGATTGTCTGGGTACAAATGCCCGAAGTGCCGGTGGCTTTTTCCAACTAGAGGAAATTCAAAGAATAGCGGAATGGATTGGACGTCCAGTAAGGGTGGATAGAGCGACGGAGTTGGGGGCAAGGGTCAAATATGCAAGAGTTTGTGTGGAAGTGGATTTAACAAAACCACTCCTGTCGCAGTTTAAAATAGAAGGCATTAAGTATCTCATCCAGTATGAAGGGCTCGATCCAATTTGTGATGATTGCAGGATGTATGGAGCCACGGTGGATAAGTGCAAGTGCCATCGAATGCAGGAGGTGATGGATCGTAACAATGGAGAAGAAGAGATAGAGATTGTCCCCGAAACACATGTTGAGGATTCAACGAAGGGGAGACTATATGGAGAGTGGATGACGGTACGAAAAAGGGACCGGAGGTCAGGGAATAAATTGATGGGTAATGGACCTCGTATGCAGCATAACCCAACTGATTATGTTAAACAGCGAGATATTGCTTCCAATAGATTTGCTAATCTGCAAGAAATGGAAAAAACACCTCAAGATGAAGTTGGGTACAAGAAGACGGGTGGGATGACATCACGAGACCGACATTGAGTAAGGAAAGGGAGAAGATTAAAAGGAAAGGATAAGAGAGGCGTGAGTGGCTATACACCCTTTGATCAAGAAGGTAAAAAGATGAATTTGCAGGAGAGGAGCCCCCATGTTGGGCACGTACAACCAGTGGCGTAGCCAGACTTTAATCTATTTGGGGTTTTTTTAAAAATTAGCAATACTATAATCTATGTATCTAATGAGTTTTGAGTTGATTGTGGTCCTAGTTATCGCAAGTATCAACAAAAGTATGAGGTCCTATATCAGTAGAATCATACCAAATAATAAGTATCAACATAATGGAAATGTGCAACCACATAATAAGTATCATGGAAAGCAATGTCTACCCCAGAATTTGGTGGGACTATTCCAGTGAGTCCTCCTATGGTGCACAAAAAGATGAACCCTACAGCAAATAACATGGGTGTTTTGTATTGTATCAAACCCCCCCACATGGTAGCGAACCAACTAAAGATTTTTATTCCAGTGGGGACAGCTATGATCATGGTAGCTGCGATGAAGTAGGCACATGTATCAATGCCCACGAGAAAGCGTTCTAACGATAAGCTGAAAGTCCTTACTAAACTCTCAGGAAATCAGTTTATCTAATGAATTTTTCTCCCAAAATTTTTGCCAAGTGGGGTCCCAGGAACCCCTGTCCTCATGCCTTCCCTCCGCCACTGTGTACAACCACGTCCTATGCAGAGCCATGCAAAATACGTTGATAACAATGGAGTGGGGGTGAAGATCGGTAAGGTAAGCAAATTGACCAAGAGAAGACAGGAGAGGCCGAAATAAGTGAGAAAGGAGTTGACCAAGTCCCGGGCAACCACAGTAGCTCAACACCAAGACCGGACAAGGGGGAAAAAGGTGGAATCATTGAGAATCCTGGGCGGTTTGCTTCCCTTTTCGGATGCAGTTAGAGCTACCTCTTTACGGTTTACTTGGGATTACCGCTCGGGGCCAGTCCTAAATCGATCTCAGTTTGGAGTCTTGTTCTTACAAAGTTCCAAGATAGGCTGGAGGGATGGAGAGGCGGCTTTCTTTCCCTGGGTGGGAAGCTGATCCTGACCCGGAGCACCCTCTCTAGCCAGCCCCTTTACTTGTGTGCAATCCGAAAAGCCCCTAAAACCGTCATTTGTAAAATGGAGAGGGCTATAAGGAATTTTATCTGGTCGGGAGTGAATGAGAAAGTTAAGTACCACCTTGTTAATTGGCATCAATACAAAGTTCAAGTTGGTGCAGGAGGCTTAATTAGGTATTCTGGACTTAGAGATTTTGAATACAACCCTTCTATCCAAGTGGATATGGAAGTTTGATGTTGAGCGTGATGCTTGGTGGAGGAAGCTGATTAGCATCAAGTTTCCAAACACTTCTTCTGTTTGGATTTCTGGGAAAGGAAGTGGTTGAACTGGTAGGTCAGTTTGGATTTCATTCTGGCATGATCGATGGAGTCGTAGGACGACCTTAGCAGAAGCCTTCCCAAGAGTCACTTCTGCTTCCGCTCTTCCCAATGGCTGGATTTCTGACTTCTTCTCCATTTCGGATACTGTGAGTTGGAATCTTCCCTTAAATATTTCTTTGAGAGGTGGGGTTGAGAGGGAGAGGATTGATCTTTGTAATTTTCTGTCAAATTTGCCTCTTGGTGGATTTCTACTGGTCCTTGCAGGTTGGTGTGGGTTCCTGATCCCAAGGCGGGATTCTCTATTTGATCCATGTATAGATGCATGTGCTATGAGAATTTTCCCGGTACACTGGCTTCCCTCAAAAGGTTGTGTGGCGTGCTCAGGTGCCCTCAAGGATAAGCTGTTTTTTTGTGACTTGTTTATCACAAACGAATCATAACTCATGACAACCTCAAGCGGCGTGGCTGGAGCATTTGGAGTAGATGTACACTCTGTGAGGTGGACATTGAGACTATTCATCATCTCTTCAGAGAATGAAGATTCAGTAATAGCATTTGGTGTTCCTTCATGCAAGTCTTAGGGATGTTCGACCCTCATTTTTACGAGATGCAGCACGTGATTCAGAGTTGTCCTTCTGAAGAACCTGCCAACTGGCTTGATTGGTTCACCCATCTCTTCCTACATGCTTTCACTTGGGAAGTATGGAAGGAACAAAATGGAAGGATGTTCATTGGCAAGAAGCTCAGGTGGCAGTCCATTTTTCACAAGATCAGTCAAAGTCTTCTCAGCTGGGTGGTGGCAGGGGGTCTGATCAGTGATTCTAGCAGGAATTAGTGGCTTAGGCTTCTTTCTGAAGCCTGCCCTGTCGATCGTGATTTGTGAACTGGTTTATGTTTGTTCCCTTTCTTTTGGTTGGTGTAGTTATTGGAGAATGATCCTTTGTTTTTCGAGGATGGCACCTCATGCTACGCTTGGTTTCTTTTCTGAGGGGTTCAACTCTTGTGAACTCCTTGTGGCCTCTTTTGTTCTTTCTCTTTTTTAGCAATAAAATTTTCACCCTTATAAAAAAAAGGTGGAACTAATAGTTGAGACATTACAGGAAAGGAAGGGATGGTTCAAAAAAAAAAAAGACGCGAGGAACCGATCCCCTTCGAAGAATAAATCAGGATCCTGAGTTACAACTGCCGCGAACTGGGAAACAAGCGGTTAGTGAAGGCTTTAATGACGCTTTTGCGTCAAGTTTCCCTACAGGTTTTTTTCCTCATAGAAACTAAACAACTTGTGTCTGAAAATGAAGAAATTTGTGACCTTTTAGGGTTCAAGGATGGGGTCTGCTGGCCAACGGTTACTACTAACGTAGGTAGGCAGGGGGTTTAAGCGTTTGGTGGATGGAGGAGGTGGAGATGGAAGTGATGGATATAACACTACACTATGCTGATTTCAAGGTACAGGAGTTGGGAGTGGGCACTTGTTCACAAGGATGTACGGATGGCCAGAGTCTGATGGGAAGAGACATATTATGGAATCCTTCAGATACCTCTCCCATCAATGGGATGAACCATAGTTATGCGGTGGAGATTTTAACCTCGCATTTTGAGACAAAAGGTGAGAATGCAGCCCCCTGATAGAGAGATTGAGGATTTTCGTGAATGTTTGGAGGCGTGCGGTTTGGTGGATTTGGGTTTTAAGGGCCATCCCTTTACATGGAATAGCAGGAGAAGCGTTGGGTTCACGGAGGAAAGGCTCGATCGGTTTGTCGCTAGGGAGAACTGGTCGGAGCTATTCCCAGCAGCTCGGGTGATACATTTGGATGGTAATAGGTCAGACCATAGACCTCTTATATGTGATACTAGAGGGGAAGATGTTGAAGTGATTAAATGGGGGTGGAGCTTCAAATTTGAACCTCACTGGTCAAAGCATAAAGACTGCCCGCGGATAGTCGAAGAGGCATGGAAAAATTGGGGTGCTAGTGTTCTTGACAAGATTACAAATTGCCGAAGCAAGTTGGATACATGGAGCCAAACCACCTTTCCAAATTTTGCAAAGCAGAGGAACCAAATAAAGAAAGCGTTGAGGGTGTTTGAGAGAAGTGAGAAGACACTGATGATAATTCAACAAAGACAGGCCTTGGAATCGGAGTTAGATGAGCTTGAGGCGAACGAGGAAATTTTCTGGAAAAAACGATCGCATGCGGATTGGTTGCAGGAGGGTGACAAAAATACGAGCTTCTTTCATAGGAAAGCATCGGCGAGACGGAAAATGTAATTCCATCAAAAAGATCCAAGACGAGGCGGGACAGTGGTATACGGGAAAGGAGCAGCGGTTTGAATGTTTAATTTCATACTATTCAAAACTTTTTAAGGCGGGTCCAATTTCGGAGACAACCCCAGTTCTTAACACTATTAATCAGCGAGTATCAGTGCAGGACAATATGATGTTGTTGCACCCGATAAATGAGGAGGAGGTTTCTGCGCTTTGAAACAGATGGGGCCCCGTAAAGCACCCGGTATGGACGGGATGCAGCATTTTTGTTCCAGACATATTGGACGATCATGGGATAGGAAGTTACAGCAACAGTGGCGGGCATTCTCAGTTCTGGGTTGATGCCGAGCGAGATGAATCACACGTTGATCCCGAAGGTCAAAGCACCTAGAACACCCAAAGATTTCCTCCCCATCAGTTTATGTAATGTCATCTACAAAATCTTCTCGAAGGTGATGGCGAACAGACTTAAACGAATACTAGGGAAGATAATCTCGCTGGAGCAGAGTGCGTTTGTCCAAGGAAGGTTTATAGCAGATAACATAGTCATAGCTTTCGAGTGTTTTCACTCGATGAAGAAGCAACCAAAAACCAAACACGGTTATTTTGCAGCGAAAGTGGATATGACAAAGGCATATGATTGACTGGAGTGGCATTTTTTGGAAGAAGTTATGAGACAGATGGGGTTGGACGATCGATGGATATAGGTGGTGATGATGTGTGTCTCGAATGTGACTTTCTCTTTTCCTAGTTAATGGGAACCAGTCTCTGCGGTTCCCCCCAGAATGAGGGCTCCGTCAAGGCGACCCACTCTCACCGTACTTGTTCCTGTTTTATGCTGAAGGACTATCGTTGTATACCCAGGTTGCTGCATCAGAAGGGTGACTCACTCCTACTGTCGCTCTAGAAAATGGCCAAGTGTAACCACTTCCTAAAGCGTAGTATAGCGGGTTTGGGTTTTAATGTCAACCCGGGTCCTAGATTTGATGACTACTCGGTGAATTCTTGTTATCTAGCAGTGAAACTTTAGTGCAGATTCAAGCAAACAAAAACACAAAGCAAGTTAAACGGTTGTTTCAAGTCGAGAGAGGTCACCTGGATATGGTTCCCCCTAGACTGCAGTTAAGCAGGATTGCAATTTACCAAGTTCAGTTTTCTATGATAGTTATACTGCGGAAGGTTTTTAAACAGCCTGAAGTCTCGACTAAAGGTCTCCAGACCCTCTCAATCTGAGTCTCTAGTAGGTGACTAACCTCCACCAGAGTAAACAGATTGAGGCCCTAACGAACAAAACCTCCACTACCGAAGTGAATTCGGTACAGAATAGTGAATTGGCTCCTCGACTAAAGTCACCAATTCCCTACCTTCAATCAAGGGTGCTCTATCAACCTAGGCAGATATTCTCATTCTAGGTTAAAGCAGAAACAACAGGAATTTGATCAGGATTCAAGTCATTCAATCATTCAAACCTCAATCGAATATAATCAAATCATAGAATCAGTACTTGGGTTCATACAATCAAACCTAACATACAAATCTAGGGTTTTCCATACCCATATGAATGGGAGAACTACTCCATGGAGAAAGAAGCAAAAGCAGATTCAGACGCGAAAATCATACTGTGAAGGATGGATTTCTGCTTCTGGACGTTGATCGGCACTCCTCCAAGCTCAAGCCAAGCTCCAATGGTGATGAAGATCAAGCTAGGGCACTTGGGAACTCTTGTTCGTCGCTTTCTCTCTCTAGGAATCGCTCTGTCTCTCTAAAACTCGAATCCCCCTTCTCTTTTGGCTGAAATCTACCTAAAAGGGCATCACTGGGAAAAACACGGTCAAGGG